CCCCCCCCCCCCCCCCCCAACTGTGTGCCCACCTCCCCTCTTTAAGGAGGAAAAAGAGTTAAAAATACTGTATTGAGTTCTCTTAACCCGAAAAGAACGTACGTGTACGTAGTTGCATGGGGTGCGCTGTATTGAAATACAATGTCTGAACGTTAGTACGTAGTACAACGAGTTTTCGGGTACAACTTTGCAGGAGCCTATAGTACTGGTGTCATTTTTTTTTCTTTCTTTCTTGAATTTGGTTGGGCATGTCGCCAAGACCTGCAGGGAAGAGTTGTTTGTATTGCAATTTTGTACAACGTAGTTTTTTACCTTCGGATTTTTTCTTTTTAAAATTTTAAATCGAAGTTCTAAAGAAATCAGAAAACGGGATATCCCTGCGGTTGGATAATGTATTTACTATTTATTGAATTTTATTCTCGTTTTTTTCTTCTTTTTTTCCCCAAAGTTGGTTTTGAATTTCGACGTCACCCTCAGGCAAAAGTTGTTTGTAACTTTGTATTGCAATGTCGTAAAATTTTAATTTTTTTTAGAGTTTTTCTCATTTTGTTTAAACAATTGGAATTTGCAAAAACTACTAAGTTAGAATTAGCGTATGTAGGGTATGTGGCCAAAGACAATCTTCCAAGTAGAAACGGCAATCCAAGACTTAGAATTTGACCCAGACCAGAAGAATGGGCCTGGCCCTCAGGCAACAACAGACTGTGTAAAACCCCCATCTTAACTACACAATATACAGTCAAAATGGGTTACAGAATGTTACTAAAAACGAAAGACCCAGAACCGGTCATCAAGGGGAGATGGGAAAGACTGTTAGGACAGAGAATGGAACCAATCCCTGCAGTTCCCTGGAGAATGTACAAATCGATTTGCCCAATCAAGATCAGAAGCCTCCAATGGCTGATTACCTATGATGCACTCCCAGTGAATGCCTGGCTGCACATTCGCAGAAGAAACAGCGACCCAAGTAGTTCAGAACAATGTGTAGTATGCTCAGACAACTTACAGGAGGACATTATATATACATTGTCTAATTAACTGCCAACTCGCTACCGACCTATGGGCACGAGCCTCAGCACTCTGGGGCCACCTGTTTCCCTCTTCTCTACCGGAACACCCCATCCAGTTACTCCTATGGGCTAACATCCCTCCCCAATTTAATAAGTCCGAGCGCATTTGGGTTGGGATAATCAGAAAAGTGACGCTGTGGGTTATATGGAAGGAAAGGTGCAACCGGACCATCGACGATTCCAGTAGGCCATCAGAACAAGTGTGGGCTTCGACGAGACTCTTCATGGAGACTGACATCCGGTGTCAGTGGAAGAAGGTCAAGCACCAAATTCAGCAGGACCCGGACAAACAACAAGAAACGATAGCCAAATTCAGCAAGGAGTGGTTGGTGCTGGGGAAGATAGCAGAAATCCATGCCCTACAAATCAGATGGAAAGACTGGCACAACTCGGACACTTCCTACGGAACAAGGGATTCCATCCAGATAAGACGACATGATCCCAGGCATGCGGGAGATCCCACGGGACCCAACCAATGAGTGACTGACCGTAGTCTTCCACACGAATACGAGGCTTCAGAGACATAAGAGGCGGATCAAGACCCCATCAGTAGTTTATCTCGGTCTTCCTTGCTTTATTTATATTATTATCAGGCAGACTTCGATGTGAATTCTGAGAGGGAACACAGCGATTGGCAAGCTGACAGTCAATCCTCCCTCAGGGAGCAATCAATGCTGGTCAGGGATCCTTCGGCCACACGGAAGGAAGCGTGAGTGGGTTTCTTGATGTATTCAGTCTTGACTTGCCGGTGGAATAGGAACCGGACTGATGCTCCCCAGAATGGATAAGGAGCCAGGGCCATAAGGACCTGTTTAAAAAAAAAAAAAAAGGAAAAAAAAAAAAAAAAAAGAATTAACGTATGTACATAAGTTATAATTGACTGTGCGTTCTATTCAGAAGCAATAAAAGAAAAGAAAAGAAAAAAAAAAACAGCGATTTCTGGAACTGTTTTTCACAGGGAAGTTGAATACAATGAATAGAACGTACGTACCTCTTTTCCGGGTTAAGATGGGTAGCCACAGACTTCCAAGGCCTCAATTTCTCTTTGACAGTCTGTGCTCCCTCTCTTTCATACCAAAAGGGCGATGATCTTTCTTTCCCTTTGGCATGCAATGGGTTGGAACTTCTGACACAAAAGATCCTACAGAGTACAAGGGCACCCGTTGCAGCTTCGCTCACAAATACAAAGATGACGGGTGATGCATTCACGGTGGAGGTTACTCACCTATGCTCTCTCTCTCTCTCTCTGAGTCTCTCTCTCTCTCTCTCTCTCTCTCTCTCTCTCTCTCTCTCTCTCTCT